TTGCTTCTCTTTCCACAGGAAATGAGAAGTTGTGGATTCATTCTGAGCTAAGAAAAATCAGGTTTGATCAAGGAGGACCACCTGAGAAATCTCCAGTAGGAACAGATGTCCCAGATGTCTGAGCTTTACATCCAGAACAGATCCAAGACTACTGCCTGAAATGGTCAAGACTCACAGGATATTCCAGTCAGGACTTGATCATAATTCTAAATTTTCTTTAGGTCCTCATAAAATTCTCAGTGCCCTCAGCACCCTCAACCAGCAGGAAGTAGCCTGGAATACTACGTCCACATTCCCAAATATGGTCTATGGATATTTTCCTTTGTTTAAAAAAAAGAGGGGGGAAGTGGTAGGGAAGAATTGTCTGTATTCTGTCAATCATATTTTAAATAAATGCTGATTGGCCTGGAAGAAAGTTTAGGTTGGTTAACCAGACAGGAAGTAGAGGTGGGGCAATGAGAACAGGAGTATTCTGGGAAGAAAGAAGATCCCTCCCCAGTCCTGCCCAGATCACTGAAGAAGCAGGATGTGACCTGCCCTGCTGAAAAAGGTACTGAGCCATGTGGCTAACATAGATAAGGATAATGGGTTAATATAAGTTATAAGAACTAATAATAAGCCTGAGCTAATGGGCAATCAGTTTATAATCTTTTGGAGACCTCTGTGTGATTTTCTTTGGGGCTTACTGGCTGTGGGAACTGAGCAGGATGGAAACCCCAACAATCCCGGCCCAGCATGCTACATTAGCTCCAGTATTTCTGTTTAGTTTTTGGCTTTATGACCTGCTTGTTGGTCAGAGTGGGATATTGAATCTCCCACCATCAATGTGTGAGCGTCAATGTGTGATTTAACCTTTAGTAATGTTTCTTTTACAAATGTGGTTGTCCTTTGCATTTGGTGCATAGATGTTAATAATTAAAATATCATCTTGGTGGATTTTTCCTTTAATATGTATGAAGCATCCCTGTTGCTTTTGATTGATTTTGGTTTGAAGCCTATTTTGTTAGATGTTAGAAGAACTGCACTAGTTTGCTTCTTGGGTCCATTTGTTTGGAAAATCTTTTTCCAACACTTTACTCTGAGGTAATGCTTATCTTTGATAATGAGTTGTATTATTTGTATGTACCAGAAGGATTCATGATCACATTCAATCTGTTAGTCTTTGTGTAGCAGGAGGTTGCGGGCCTGCTTTTCTTCCCGGTTGCCTGGCTTTGGGTCGCCCAGCTAGCTTACCACCCAAAATAATCACACAGAAATTGTATTAATTAAATTAATGCCATTGTATCTAGCCTCTTATTGGCTAACTCTCACATCTTGATTAACCCATTTCTATTAAATCTGTGCATCACCACATGACTGTGGCTTACTGGCAAGATTCTAACCTATGTCTGTCTCAGGTCAGAGATTCTTGGCATCTGCCACACTTCCCTTTTTCCCAGCATTCTGTTCTGTTTACTCAGCCCACCTAAGGGCTGCCCTATCAAAAGGCCAAGGCAGTCTCTTTATTCAACCAACGAATGCAACACACAGAACAATGTCCTATACCATTTCTCCTTCTTCTGTTTAAAAAAAAAAGACTTTCACTTTAACATAGTAAAATTACATATAATAAAACAGTTATCAAGCAAGAATTACAGTTACAATATTTATATCTATTTTATCTTTTATCATAACTAAGGAAAACTATAACTATCTAACTATTCTTTAATTCTATCAAAGACTCCAAAAGATTATAATATTGCCCAAGTGAAACAGGAAGTGCATTGTAAGCAACTTCCAAAACTCTAGAAATGACAGAGACATCTCTCTGCCTGGACAGTCACTCAAAGTTCTTCTATACCGTTGAGGCATCCATCTTCAGCCTACAGGCCCATAGTATCCTGAAAACATTTCCATGAAGCAGGAAATTTTAAAGACAGTTCAGTCACTTTCTTTTGTATCCTGCAGAATGTCCCACAGACTCTTTCATGAAGCAGGAATCCTGAAGGACCATTGCAACTTTAGGCAAGTTCAGCAGTCCTCTCTCTGCAGCTTCTTTATGTCCAGTCTATGCAACAGTCCAGGCAAGAGAAGTTTCTTGCCCAAATGGCTAATCAACTCCTTAAGGAGCCTCTTCAATGCCCACCTTCTTCTTGAAGTAATTGGTGCTGCCAGGAGCAGATGTGTCTCATTGTCGTGAAAAGCCCTAAGTTATTAAAACATCTTAAATTCCATGTTCTGTAGTCTTTAAAGGATATAAAGAATGACTATCTAAATATATCTATGTACACTAGAAAAATCTAACTAACATGACTACAAACTTGACTATTATAAATGATTATATATTAACATAAATTTCTTAATTATACATTACATTTTTAAATGAACTACACAATCATAATACCTTAATCAAGATCAGCAATACATATACATATAACAAAATTGACCTTAAATACATATATCAACAATCCAGGATTCATACCAATGCAAAATAATTATATCTATATCATTTCCCCTCTAAATGTAAAAGAACATTTATAAACAATATTTGGAAATATGGACGTAGTTTTCTCTCTGCAAACTGTCTTGCGCTGTATGGGGGTGCTGTTAATCAGGTCTTTCATGGTATATCCTGTTTTCTAGGTTTATCTCAGTCAATAGTTGGGCAAAAAATTTTTTGAGGGTGTTTACAGCAACCTTTCAGGAGGGTGTGGTCTATCACACCATATTGGCCTGGAGGCAATGCACAGGTTCTCATCCTCTGTGAAAACAAAAGAAGAACCTCTTTTCCAAAGCATCATATCCTTAGACCCAAATTCTGAAGCCAAGATATTTTTTTAATATACATGCTGGTTTAGCTTGGCAGTCCATATAATGAAATGGCTCTCTGTATTTAGCTGTTTCACAGTCAAAAATTTAAAGAAAACACAATATACATAATCCAGACTCTGTGAATTTTCCATTATTACATGGCTTATTTTTTTTACTCTATTACTTTACTGTCTCTTTAAGACTTTACCCTTTTTTTAAAAGCATTAACTTTATTTTATGACTTTCTTTTTTTCCTCTCTCCCAAGCCTATGACTTTATCTAATACTATGACCCATTTTGAGGTCCTTTATGTCTGAATCTGTCCTATAGCATTGTCTTTAATTCGCTACTGTCTTAAAGAGCTTTTAAAATGATAAGCAGCTTGATTGTGGCAGCTCTGGATGTTGGCTCTACCTCTTTCCAATTTCAAAATGGTGGACATACCATTTCTGCTAGCTCTGTGGCCGCCATGTAGGAGCCAGACTCAGCACTTTACCTCTGAGAATGAGCTTTTTAATCAGAGTTACAGCCAAATCTGCCAGGCAGAGTACTGCACAGCCTGGAACCATCTCTGTGTATGGCAGCAGAAATCCACCATGCTGTTCCGCTTGCCTAAGCCTGTTCCCAGGCAGGGAGCGCCAAATCATTGGCATGGTCTCAGAGTACTTTCTTCCCCATCCCAAGTGGGCACAGAAACATCCGGTTCCACAAAAACTATTGAAATGCTTAATAACTGGCATTTTTATTGGTGGCATAGCCCAGGAAGCTGCGTTCTAAAACTGTGTGGCTTTTTTTTTGTTTTTTTTTGTACAGCTGCTGAGTCAGGAAATTTTCTGTGTGGCAGCCAGCCAGCAAACAGCAAAAGGCTGTGTTAAACTCTGGTTTTTTTGTTTGTTTGTTTGTTTGTTTTTGGTGTGTCTAGAATTCCTTTTTAAGACCTCTCAGGTTTTACATGGAGTTCGTTACCACTTTGGAGCACCATCTTTGTCCTTTTTGAGGAATTGAGTCCATTGATAGTGATAGATATCAATGAACTGGTATGGGAGGTCCTTCTGTCTATGTGTTGCTTTCATTGGTTAATGAACAAAGAACTTCTTTGAGCCTATGGCAAGGGCAGAACAGAACTAGGCGGAGAAAATGTTAGGCTCTATGCTGGCAGAAAGAGGGCAGAGTCAGAAAGAAGCCATTGGGCCACCAGAGATAGATACTAGGAACTTTACCCAGTAAGTCACAGCCATGTGGTGATATACAGGTTAATAGAAATGGATTAAATTTATATAAAAGTTAGCTAATAAGAAGCTAGATCTAATAGGACAAGCAGTGATTTAATTAATACAGTTTCTGTGTGATTGTTTTGGGGATAAGCGACTAGGAACCAACAAGCAACCTCCTTACTACAACGATTATTGATTCCTGTTTTTGTTTGTTTGTTTTTGATGGTGGTGGTGGTGTTAGTAGGAGAGAGAGAGAGAGAGAGAGAGAGAGAGAGAGAGAGAGACTCCCTTATTTCATTTTTTCTTGTGTGAAATTATTTATTTTCTGTGTTTCATGGGTATAGTTAAACTGCTTAAACTGTTTGGGTTGGATTTTTCTTTCTAGTACCTTCAACAGAGCTCAATTTATAATAGGTATTTTTAAATTAGACTTCATTATGGAATAGCTGTCTTTCTTCATAGATGGTGATTAACAGTTTTGCTGGTTAAAAAGGACCCTAGAACATAGCAGGAAAAGTGACATTTTTTGTGTGAAGACTTCCATATTTTTGGAAAAAAATTATACTAGTGGGTAAATCTATCTATCCCATAGTAGGAAAAAGAGACAGCCACACCTCCCTCAATCCGCAACTCTCACAAGAAAAGCTTAAGTAGCTCATTTAAAAACAAAACAAAATTATGAGTTCTGTTGAGGTTGTCCTTTGTGCTGGGCTCTTGGGAAATTTACTGTTTTTATGTGCTCCCAAACTACAGTGATTCAGGTGAGGGCACAAAGCAGGAGATGGATCTCATAGCCTTCCTGTGTGTCTACCAACATGTTCCAAATGGAAGTGACCCCAGCAGCTTAACATCCCGTCTCATTTATGCTACATTATCTTGGATTAGAGATGTTAACAGTAGTCTTTGTTGAAAAGTCCTCCAGAGACATGAAAAATAATGATTAAACAAAGATTTCTGAGTCAGATTCCATAATGGAAAAGCAATGGAATAACTCACCTTAATATACAGTGGCTCTCTAAGATGGTCAACAAGAATACAAGCCTTTTCCTCCCACACAGGATTCAGGTTCTTGTGTATAATTTTACTTCTAAAAACTTCTTTTCTTCCAATTTTAAACTTCACATATGGATCACTTGTCCCTGTTGAAGAGATTCACATCAGGCATTCCTTTCTATGGAAGTAAGAAGCTGCTCATCGGAACATCAGAAAGAATTAAAGGAAGAAAATGTTAGTTGAGAACTTTCCCACAAGAACAGGTTTTCTTCTGTAAATCTGAAGTAAGATCAAATTATCATCATTATTGTTATTACTTTATCTTCTGAGCATAATTCTGTAAATGTATTCTGACTTTTCAGAGACACAATTGCTTTCACAGTGGCAGAACTAATTTACATTTGACTAGCAGTCTTTGAAGGTTCTCCTTTTCCTGCATCTTCATCAGTATGTGTTGATATTTGTTTTCTTAATGATAGCCATTCTGGTTACAGTAAGACAGGAGATCTCACTGTAGTTTTAAATTTTTATTTCCCCAGGTGCAATGGCTAAGAATTCTGAACACTTTTATCATATATTTACCTGACAGTTGCAGTAGAACTTTTGAGAATTTTGTATCCATTTCATTAGCCCACCTTACTGGTTGGGCTAGTTTTGTTTGTGAAATCTGTTTTTTTGGGTTCTTTACATATATTTTGGGAATCAATCTCATTAGATTTTGAGCTAGTGAAGATTTTTCTTCTCATTCCATGCACTGTCTCTTCATTCACTCTCTTCATTCAAATTGTTCCTTTGATGTGAGCATTTTAGCATCAAACAATCACAGTTATCAATACTTGGTTCATTTCCTGAGCATGGAGGTTCCACAAAAACAAACAAAACTTCAAGAAAAATAGAGAGTGTCATATAACCCTTACTACAGAACTATATAGAACACTTATTTAAACCTTATTAAAGTTATTTAAACACTTATTAAACCTTATTTAAAGCCCCAAGGTCACATCCAAGTATCAGCAATAATAACAATAAATAAAATCCTAAAAACAGAACTATCATAAAAAGCAACTACTTGGTTCCTGAGTACATATTCAAAGACTCTAAGTAAGCACACCACAGAGACACTTGCACATCCATGGTTATTGCAGCAAGATTCATAGTAACCAATGCATGGAATCAGTGACTATAAACATAAGGACATATAAAGATACAGGATACCCCATTAAATATCTGATTAACAGTGCCCCCAAACAGCAGGAAATAGTGGTGGGAATCTGCCATGTTCTCATGCCTATGCACTCCTAGCAGACCTGATCCCACTGCCTGTTCAGGTGGGCAGCGTTGAGCTATGGACATGGTCTCAGTTACTTTCCTCCTGACCCCAATTGGGCACACAAACACCCAGACCCAAAGTGGGTGGCAGGCATTAGTCTCACATTGGGTACCATTCTGTAGCTGGAGGCTGCTCACTTGTTCCCGGCTATCCAGACCCAAAATAATCACACAGAAACTATATTAATTAGAACATTAATTGGCCAATTAGCTCAAGCTTCTTATTAACCTACTTTTATATCCGAAATTAACCTATTTCTATTATTTTTTTATTTTACCACGAGGCTTGTTACCTACTGGAAAGATCTGGCTGGCAGCTCATGTCTTTATTTTTCAGCAGTTATGTGGTATCTCCCTGACTCTGCTTACTCTTTCTCTACATCTCTGTTCAGATTTTTTGCCTGGCTTTACTCAGTTAAGCCATTGGCTGAAGCAGCTTCTTTTTTAAACCAATGGCAATAAATCATACTCACAGCATATAGAGGGGAATCCCACATCACTGAGATATACATTTTCAACCAGAGCATTTCTTTGAAATGTGATCAAGAAGTAGTGGTGGTGGCACACACCATTAATTCTAATACTTGGGAAGGAGAGACAGTTGAATCTTTCAGGTTGAGGCCAGCCTAGTCTAACAGATAAAGTTCCAGAACAGCCAGGCCTACACAAAGAAACCCTGTCTCAAAAGAAAACCAAAATGTGATCAAGAAACTTAAGGCTAACCGCCGTGTGAAAAAATGTTCGGTATCATAACTATCAGAGAAATAAAAATAAAAACTACCTTGGCATAGAAAGAATGGCTATTATCATGACAGAAGATAGCTGCTGGGGAGGATGTGGCCAAGGAGCCTTTGTCTACTGATGATAGGAATTTATCCAGCCATTATGGAATATTGTAAGGGGCCAAAAGACTTACGCAGATGACAACTAGTATTCAAATGTCAATCCAGCAGAGGAGTGATTACTTGATGGAGTTAATCCTGTCCAGACAAGGTCTGCAGGGCCATCAGCTCAGGAAACTCTTGCTCACTTTTGCTAAAGTAGCTTGGTGTCTCTCCAATATCTGCACTGTAGTGTGTGATCTCATGTGATGTGCATATGTAATCTCATGATTGCATGTCAGTCTTATGGGCACATATATCTGTGGATGGTCAGGAAGATGACTTTTAGTTTGGCTATATAATTTGGTATATAGAATATATACTGGGACATTCTTTATAACTAGATCTATGTGTCCTATAAGGACCATAGACAATTAAAAGCCTGGTTTATTCATTTTAACTCAGACTAATATCAAAAAATAACAATTTCTCTTCAGTCTAATACAAACTGCACACAATTAGCTCACTTTTACCTCAGAGCAAGTCCAAATTAGGTGAAAGGCTTTTTGTAAATAGATTAAAACCTTACAGTTATGCACAAGGTTAGATATCCAACCAAGGTTACTACAGAAAGCCCCCTAAGAAAAGCATACTAATTCTTCACTTGTCAGTCTGTTAGCAAAAGACCTATGTCTCAAAGTTTCTCACTGGGCACTGTGGCCATCTGGTTACAGTTTTATTACCGAAACCTTGAATCCCTTGTGTTGTCATGGCAACGGCTCAACTCCTAATCACTTATCCTAGGAATGTGCTTTTGACCAATGAGAAGGAACTCTTGTATTTTCTTTATCACTTCAAGGCTCCTGGGAAAATGAGAGATTTTACTCTGGAAAGAAGAAGCTAGGAAAAGAAGCTAGAAGTTAGAAGTCAGACAGGAGAATTAGAATAAAAGCAGAATAAAGAGATTTCTTTGGAACGTCGTGGTGTGAGTGGATTGATTCACCTTCAGATATCCCTCAGAAAAGTACCTTTTTCTTCTTGTAGCTTCCATTCTGAACCCTAAGTGTGCCTTGTGAATGAACCCCAAATACCTTTACTAGAAAATAGTGGAATTGTCTCAAAAAATTGAATATGGGCTCAGTCAGTGAAGTACTTATTTTGCAATTATTTTTCAGAGTTCACACCCTGAGAAACTTCATTTAAAAAGCCATTTGTGGTGGTTTGTAATCCTGGGGGTAGGTAGAGACTGGGAAATCCCTGGGGCTCATTAGATAGTCTATTTAGCCTTACTGGTCCCAAGCCAGTGAGAGAAGTTTCCACAAAAAAAGATGGGGAGAGCACTTGAGGAAGAACAACTGAAGTTGTCCTCTAGCCTACACACACACACACACACACACACACAGAGAGAGAGAGAGAGAGAGAGATCAATAAGTTGAAGAAACATCTACACTCCCATGTTCACTGTAGCTCCCCTCACAATAACAGCCAAGATGGATAAACAGCCAGAGTCTTCAACTGATGAATAAAGAAAATCTGGTAGATAAACACAGCACATCCATTCATTAGTTAAATCCTATCATTTGTGGCAGCACAGGTGGGACTCAAGGTCATTATACTTGAGTCCCACTTGTGAAGCAAGCCAGGCACAGGAAGACAAATGCTGCATGTTCTACTTGTGTGAACTCTAAAAATGTTGGTCATTTAGAAGTTGAGAGTTCTAAAGTTGAGGTTACCAGAAATTAAGAATAGTAGTGGGGTGGGACATAAGACTGAGCAGTGAGCACTATGGTGGACTTACATATGAACAAGAAGTTCTGCTAGGTTAATCTCAGGTGGGTAAGTATAGATACCACTATAGAAAGATGATATAGATAGTACTATCTACTCCAAAACAGAAGAAACAATTTTGAAATTTTACCATAAGAAATGATGACTGCAGGACCCCAGCTGCACAGACAATAAGAGAAACAATGAATAAATGGGATCTACTGAAACTGAGAAGCTTCTGTAAAGCAAAGGACACTGTCAGTAAGACAAAAAGGCTGCCTTCTGACTGGGAGAAGATCTTCACCAACCCCTCATCAGACAAAGGTCTGATCTCCAAAATATACAAAGAACTCAAGAAACTAGGCACTAAAACTCTAATTAACCCAATTAAAAAATGGGGTACTGAACTTAACAGAGAATTCACAGCAGATGAACTTCGAATGGCCAGAAGACACTTAAGGTCATGCTCAACCTCCTTAGCGATCAGGGAAATGCAAATCAAAACCACTTTGAGATACCATCTTACACCTGTCAGAATAGCTAAAGTCAAAAACACCAACGATAGCCCATGCTGGAGAGGATGTGGGGTGAGGGGAACACTCATCCATTGTTGGTGGGAATGCAAACTCGTGCAGCCACTGTGGAAATCAGTGTGGTGGTTTCTCAGGAAACTGGGAGTCAACCTCCCTCAGGACCCAGCAATTCCACTCTTGGGAATATACCCTAAAGATTCCCTAACATACTACAGAAGCATTTGTTCTACTATGTTCATAGCAGCACTATTTGTAATAGCCAGAACCTGGAAACAGCCTAGGTGCCCCTCAATAGAAGAATGGTTAAAAAAGGTTTGGAACATATACACATTAGAGTTTTACTCAGCGGTAAAAAACAATGACATCTTGAATTTTGCATGCAAATGGATGGAAATAGAAAACGCTTTACTGAGTGAGGTAAGCCAGACCCAAAAAGAGGAACACGGTATGTATTCACTCATAAGTGGATTCTAACCATAATTAAAGGTCTTTGAGCCTATTATGCGTGATCCTAGAGAAGCTAAATAAGAAGATGAACCTGATGAAGATTATTTAGCTATCCACCAGGAGGTAGGAAATAGACAAGAGTCCCAGGTAACCTCGGGTGCATGGGGGGGGTGGGAGGATTGATGGAAGGGGAGAGGGTTAGAGAGAAGGGAGTAGGGGAGGAATGGGGAAAGCTCAGTGGCCTGGGAT